CTTTAGTTCCATCTGGTTCCCTTTAGTGTCCAACCTTCAAAGTCCCATCCGATCATGTTTTTTTTTTTAAGAATTCAAAACAAAAGTATTTTCTCACTAGAAGGATTCTTATAATTAATTTCAAAATCTTATTTCAAATTTATCTGGACCCTTAGTCCATTTGTAACTTTCTAAAATAAAAAAGTTAATCATCCTTTTGCTGTTTATTCCAGAAAAAAAAAACATTTAAGTCCTTAAACTTGTATTTAAAACTTCTTTCGCTAAGGATTGAAGGACACTCACCCGGTACTGTAAAACTTGTCAATCCAAATCAGTTCCTAATAGCTGAAAAGCAGTTAACAAGCAATTTCTGAAAGTAATTAGAAAAGGTAGTATGCGAACCCAGTGTCCTTTTAAAGGCACTGACTGCAGTTTGAGCAAAAAGATGGCTATTCCCTCAACTCCCAGAGCCCTAAACCCACCAGAAACTACTATTTTGCAGTCTACTTGTGAGGAGCCACTGTATGGAGCATTTGCTGGTGATCTCAAGTCCTCTCCTTGTCTGGAGAGGAATTACAAAGAGCCAGTCTACTCGCCAGTTCTTCATTCTGCCTCAGTCATTGTCTTCAGTTCACCATTTCTTCCCCAGAAATCCCATTCCCGGAAGTCCTGCTAGTCAGTGAAATCCTAGCCATATTTATATGTAATAGTCTTTATTCAGTGAAGTTTATTGTCTGGGAAACATACTAGGACTGCAGCTTTAACTGTACCACTGCAGTGTTTGGATGAAAATTCACTGAATTTCTGTATATATCAATATGCATAAGGACACTGCCACATAAACTTAAGACTTTGTTGCATAGTGTGCAGTGGTAAATGTGTTTGCCACTGCATTTCTACATGGTGAAGAACCAAGGACCACAAACACTTCCTGATTTATTTAACATTCTATTCTGGAAAACTTTGCATAACCTAGTTTTTGCATAGGTTTGGTATTCATCTACAAGATCTACTAATGTGCATTGCATGTGCAAATGTACTTTTATGCATTTTATATATGACTTATGGAAACATCTGCATAAACATTTGCATAAAGTTGAGATAAATCAGATAAATAAATTTGCATAAAGTTGCCTAAATCAGATCTCATATAACCTGGGGAGCATCTCTACATACACATTTTTATTCCTTGGTGCATATATCTATATAAACTTGCTTCTACCTATATTACATTTTATAGGCTAAATATATGAGGCTCTCTACTAGCTTTTCTCAATCGGTGCCTTCCAGAGATTTTGGAACTACCAGAATTACCCATCAGCATTAGTCGGGATTTTGTGAATTGCAATCTGGTGGATACTAGGTTTAGGAACCATAGCCTTCCCAAATAATGGGACACAAATTCAATACCAAAAATTGTAGCATTCAAAAACCCTTCCATCTCTCAGGGCAGTCTGTAACATCACCAAACAAAACCTGAAAATCACTAAACAAAATTCAAAGAGAGACTTTAAAATGGTTGAACTATAATTTATTAGCATCTAGTATTAATATTTACTTAGAAATTAATGGTCTCCCCTCTGTACAGCAGGAGGAGGAGGAGGAGGAGGAGGCAATCCCACATGCACCCTGGTCTTACTTTCACTCTTTTATCTTTATCTCTTGGACAGAATAGATGGCAGAAGGCAGGATGCAGACCCAGAAGTGGAGAATGAGGACAGAGTTTATCAATTTTCCCAGTATGCCACCAGATACAAGAGATACAAGAGGCTTCTGTTGCTTTGCAGAAGGACCATTCCTGTGGGACACTGCTGTTTTCACTACCATAAAGTGGAATATAAGTGGGCATTTTCTGAATATGAATCCTGAGTGTGTCAATACATTGGATGTATGAAGGTGGGATATGGACAGTAGTACTGGAAATTAGTCTTTAGATTAGAGATCCTAACCTGCATAGAATAGTGTGAGAATTCTCGAAGTAAAACTGAGTTTGGATTGTGCTTGTGGCATACTGGCCAAAATGTCCTTTAATTAATTAGCAATATCCTTACCATTAGAAAGGAATGCCAGTGAAGGTGAGTGAGTAGGAATGAATTACTTAAGAAAAGTGCATAAAGCAAGAAGGGATAGGGTCAAGAATAAATGGGTGGTGAATTAACATACATTTAATACAAAACTAACTGATCTGTACAAATCATGTATGCTGAGATAGTCTTGTCAAATGAGGAATGAATGCATAGAGAAAAATAATTCTAAATGAAAGAAGAGTATATGAGCAGAGAGGAAGTTGTAGTTAGATGAAATTGCTGAGATCCTCAAAAAGCGAGCGGTGAGAAACTTATATAACAAAAGACAATGTATGAACTTATGTATGAATGTAGTGGAAAAAAGGATTGTCTTCAAAGACAGAAAGGTATGGAGAGATATAATGAATTACGATGGTCTGAACTACATTTAGATTTCCTTCTCTTTTAATTTATGACCTTCTTTAATTTTTTTTACTCACTGGTTCTCACTCTTTGAGTTTTGTATAAAGTTTCTTATCTAAAAGGGGAATAGGATGATGAGTTGTTATATATCTTCTGAATACAGTACTTGTATTGATTTTACTGATTTGAGTAAAAGTGTCCTCTGATCTGGGTTTGTTATTAATTGATATTAATAACTGATATTATCTATCTTTAATTGCTATTATTGATGATGGATTTTTGACACCATTCACTGGAAGGTGGGATACACATTTCACATGCCATAAGCTTTTGTTTTTTAACGCAATGGGCAAAGCAGCTGTTGTATTTTTCAAAAAGAAACATGGTAAAATCAATATTCCAGTTTTTCCCTGTACAGGTCGACCAATACTAAATAATTTAGCTACCCAATGAACCTGTCATGTTTCATTCACAGGTTCTCATGCAAGACTGGATCTATGTGGGTTGGACAGTCCTGAGGAAAAGCAGTAGGGTCTTACCCCCAGAGAAACTCTCCAATTTCATTATGTTTGGAGTTTAACGCTTGGCAGCATTACTTGGCCTTTATTCATTTGATTTGGAGGAAGATATATCCAAGAATTTGAACTCAGTTAAAGATCTAAAATAAATAATTTTTCTTTTTATTGTCCTTGGTCATAAACACAAAGGAATGCCTGTAAACAAGCTATTTCAGTGCCTTAAATGTTTTCATGGATCCTAGGAATCTCCCTAGGATCTGCCTGTAGCTACAAAATATCACATTAGACATTAGTCAGAGCAAGTCAATACACAATTAACATTTCAAATAACTAGGCTGTCATGTGGAAATTGCTATTGCCCTGCAAAAATCATGGATGTAAATTTTAGCTTTAGATATATCTCACTCAGAAGCCAGCATAATATAAAGAAATAAAATCACTCCACCCAACAAATATATTCTATGTGACAGAAGCATTGACTCACTGGCTCTGGCTGTTACAGCATGTCGGCTCGGGAATTTCAGCACAAGAACCTGAGCAATGTAAAAGTCACTGTACTTTAACTAAAACACAGAGGGTGCTTCAGAAAGAATAGTTTAATGTAAACAAGACTTGTTCGATAGCAGTAGCAGCTGACCTAGTTAGTGTAGGGAAGTGCAAAAGGAGACAGGCCCTTCCTTCCTGCATATTGTCATCTTTTTTCATTTCGACACACGTCCCAGGCCCTATAACATCTTGGCCAACTTGGATGAGAATTGTGGGAGGGGCATCCAGCTTACAACACAATATTACCATATTGCAAATCTTTGTCAGATTCATATCATTTTTCTCTGGCTAGAAATGTTTTGTAAAATCAAGATATCATTCCGAGCTTTGCTGTAGTCACTTTGTATACTTTAAGCATATAATTCAAGCATTTTATATGCCCACCCAACTTTTAAAACTATAGCATGGAAACTGGAAGGTTTAAGCAGATCTCTGTTACTAGGAAAGGTTGAGCCTATGTGTCTTGGCATTTGTTCATCATGAACTGTTAGCATTCCTGTAGTGAGATAAAGTTTTTATAGTAGAGTACTGGAAATAATCTATCTATGTGGTCGCTAGGAGTCAAAAATGACTTGATGGCACATAATCAATCAATCAGTTGGAAATAAAATGGTGCCAGAAGATGCACCTTATTAATTTGTCATGCCAGCAGTATCTGAACTGTTTTCCTGACAGCTGCAAACAAGCAATGCAACACAGTATTTATGCTTTACCTTGTTTAAAAATCAAGATACCAAATAATTGTAACATAAGGGGACTTGCAGAAGAAGGACAACTGGAAAATTCACAAAGTTTCCATACACAGATAACTTTCTACATCTGATCAACTGACGCTAAGAATGACGTAGAAGACTGGCCGGAAGGAAACCAAGCCTCTTTTCCAGAATGCAAATGTATATTCACAAAGAGAGTTGAATGAAGTAATTCCCTGTGATACCTTCTCAAAATCCAGGCTTCCAGTATTCTGTATATCCACCCCCGCTCCCCATTCTGCCAAAGCCCAGGGATCCAGAAAGCCACTCACCAGACAGAGCCATAAGCACCAGATCCCACAGGGATGATGTTAGTATATCGTCTAGGAAGTTCCCAGAGTGTCTTGTTTACTTCTTGCCTGAAGAACCCCTTTCTCCTGGTAAAGCTCATCTCCTCTGTGCCTGGAGTAGAACTCTCCAGTACACAGAGCTCCAGAGAAACTCAGGGCCAAATCCAGATTTCACACACAGAAACAGACAGACAACTTCTCCTAGGAAAGCCAACTGTAGATTTCCTTTTCAATTGTGTTGTGTACGATGAGGTGTATAGCCCGCCTCCTTCTGCCCACAGATCAGCCCAGGAAGGAGGCATCAGGTTTCAAATTAGACACTCCTCTTGCAGGTACTTTCAAAGGACTCACCTTTTCTGCATGAAAGGTAGCCTTTATAGTAATAGAAGTAGCAGCCGTGCCTGTCTAATACAGATTTACTGCTACCATGAATACTTTCTTCAAGTCACATTAAACTTGCAGTGTACATGAGTAAAGGCATGCTGTAGATTACTTTTATTCCTTGGATATTTTTAATGCAACTTAATCGATCTTCATTCATCTGATCAGCATTTCATTTGTTGATCCCACTTCCTCCTTTGGTAACAAAGAACATCCAAAACATGCTTAGAGCAGTTTTGTTGCAGCAACAGATAATATATGTTGATGAGAGAATGTTGGAAGTTTAAAGAGGCAAAAAATAGTTTTCTGCAATGTAGAGTAATTTTAGAAAGGTTTCTTTAAAAAAAAACTTTGCCTAGGATTAAATCTATAATATTATTTTATTATCCAAAATATATTTTGCAAAAACAAAAGTATCAGAACAAAACTAGGAATCAGATAAAGATTATTAATTTTACCTAAAATGTTGTCAAAACGGTGGATTAGACCATATTAGTATCTATGTTTTAAATCAAAACAATACAGAACAGAAATATTTTAAAATGAAATTGACTTTTTTTTTGTCTTTCAGACCAACATAAATGTCTAAGACATGTCGTTTCTTACAGATTTCGATTGTTCATATATATCATATTTTGTAAGGCAAGCCAAATGAAACTAGATATCAACACTGAGATCTAAAAATTCCTATATTTGTGGTAGAGTTTATATAATCTTTCCTTCAATTATTTAAGCCAAAAGGTTGAGGGGTAAATAAATAAATAAATCTGCTCATTCTGCTCTGGATTGGTAATTGACTTTTGGGATAGCGATAAGAGGCTGGGCTACACAGGAGAACCAAACAGTCAATGTCAGTGTTGGGTTGGGATTGCAACAGCAGTTGTTGATAGTTATGACTAGATGCAGCAAACAGTCTTTTGAGCAAATAGTTGCATTAGATTAGACCAGTGTTTCTCAACCTTAGCAACTTTAAGATATGTGGACTTCAACTCCCAGAATTCCCCAGCCAGTAATGCTGGCCTGAGGATTCTTGGAGTTGGAATCCACATAACTTTAAATTGCTAAAGTTGAAA